TTGTGGCTAGGCCACCAGTGATATATGCAGTTGCGACCACCTGATTTCTCTGATATCAACCAACATCATTGAGATTGCCATGGCTGTGGGGATCAGGTGGAGCAGACTTCTCGGATGTTATTACGTCGAAGCGGGTTCACGAGCTTTATTATTCTATTCCTACTCGAGAGTGGTATGTTTTAGGTTTTCACGCACGTAGTTTTTCGCATGATGAGAAATAACTGTTTTCCTGTAACTCCCTTATTTATACGATGACATTGGATTTTAATTCCTCGTGAACGTGGTGATTTATGGATTTGCTTATAAACTTTGTTAATGATGGATTTCACTGGAGCTCGCGCGACAATACTAATTGCTTTAAGCCAATATTTAAATGATTTCGATGGTAGAAACTTAAATGAAATGGTTTGGTATTGATTTAAATGCCTACTTCGCACTAACTTACTAGTTTTACATATAAGGCACAAACTTCCCTTTTGAGTTAATTTGTTTTTATATATTATTATATTTTTAATATTCAAATCTTTTACCTTTAGCTTGTTTCCCATCTATGCCCTACTCACGGGGTTGATGATCATTGAGTTTGTGAGACTCACCCCCTTATTTCCTTTTTGTAGATAAGTGATTAGCTTAGGTGCATAGCTCAGCACATCGAGACTTGCTACAACGTAGGTAATGGCATCTCTTAAGCTCCCACTATGAGTCACTCCACTGCCTAGAGGTCGTATCGTGTCGAGTAGTCAGACTCATAATGATTAATATTTGTGGAAATGTATTTGTTAAAAACTTGATGTCTTGTAATGATTGTCACTCATTAAGTTGAATATGTGTGTAGTATTTAAACCGGATTATTGGTATCTAAATGTCGTGATTTATATTGTGTTTTACTTGGTTTAAATGAGCTATGGCATTAAAATCGTGAGTTGAGTTTAAATTGTCTGAAAGTTTAACTAAGGCTTGTTTGGGACTTGGCGGGTTTACTCACAAGTCTCGGACACTAGTAACGACCAAGGGAAGAGGCCGTTACATGCCATTCCTTCATATCATTCTTCTTCTTCTTACTTGTGGGAAATTACAAGTTTGGGATGGCAAGGGCCACTTTTTGAATCTTCCTAATTCCTATATTTTTTTAAGTCAAGCTTTTGACATTTTGTTCTTCAACTTAATGAGTTGAAAATCACCAATTCATTGTCTGTAGCTTTCAAACAGAAATTGAGACATCAATTGGCCAGCATGCTTTTGTTTACTTGAATATTTATTTTTAAGAATCAAAGAGAGTGGGTGAGAATTTGAAAAAATGTACTAAGGAAAGACCCACCTTTTTTAATGCACTATATTCTGATGCTTTTAGCTTTCCCGTTACTTAGTAACAAAAGGTTTTGCTTCTCCATTTTAATCCCTGACGTCCTCACATTTTTTTTTTCTAACTTATCCTTAATCACATTATTATCTAATTTGAATTGTTTTGTTCTCATCTCAACACGAAATTCTTAACCCATGCATCCACATGGATTCCAACTATACCAACACATTAAAAATTCATTGCATGCACATCTACAGATGACTTAATAATTTATTAAAATATAGTTAATTGACCTTGTTGTTTAATTACCATACATTTGTTTAATCGTCCTGATTTATGCTGTTGATTGACTATATACATATATCATAATGAAAGTAGTTTAAATTTTACCATTTGAAAGAAACTAATGCTTGAATGAGCTATTAGTATAAAACTTCATAATTTCATTTTTACCAATTAGAGTGGCGAAGGGATATATAAATCAGAACAAAAACGTAGAGCTCCCTTCGCTCTTAGCTCTCCTTTCCAGATTACTTTCTCTCTCTTATCATGTATCCTTACAAAGTACCAAGCACCAAGTGTTTATTTTTTTTAAGCTTCAATTTCTACTCTAGTTTCATTTATTATTTTTTTTGAACCAGCAGCTGTCTATACATCTTATATTTAAGCAAGACCACTAAGATATAATTATCTACCACATTAAATAATTATGGCTTTGTAACTAACTATAAAGCCCCATGTTACCAAAATATATTGCACAATTAGTTTGCCTGCATCTATTTTTTTTCCTTCTTATTCGAGCTCTTTTTTAATGCAATATTGTCCCTTAAGTGCATTTAATTCTCCATTCTTGACCATCAATTCTTGGTCTCCAATTTATAACAACAACTCATCACTCACTGTCGGGCCAAGAGGTAATCAAATAATTCTTGATGTGCCTATATCACGTTCATTCATTGTACTAGTTTCATTCAACTAAGGTAGCATTAATAGATGTGCATATTCATTCAACTTGTTGGTTAACAATGGTGCAGCTGCTGGTCAAGTTGTGAATATCCTTTCATTGAAATATTCCATAGTCCAGAACAAGTATCATCCTACTGTAACAAGCTTTTTTCTTCTTCTTTTCATTCTCCTAAACTGTGAATACTTTACATAACAAGATTGTAGTGAAGCAATTAGCAATTTCCATGAAAATATTAAGTTTAACCTTAAAAATATTTCTTTCTTTCCTCATGTAAATCTCTTTATGCATAAAGTTAGAGAAGTGTGCTAGTCAAATCGCTTTTTGCGCTTTTCTTCTCTCATCTCTGGATCTTTTACTATTATCGTCAACATCTTCCAACACTCTCTGTTACTGTCATTCAGCACAGGTACTTTTTATCCCCTTACTCCATTATTTTTTTTTATTCTCCTATGGAATCATTTTGACTATCT